TTATAATTTTCTTTTTTAGTGGTATGAAGGTGGTGGTATATTAATAATGGGTTATGAAATGTATCGTTTATTAAATTATGCATCGGATTCAACTGTTACAACTCCACGTAAGAAATCAAAGAAAAAACAAAGATCAACTGAAGATAGTGATCATGATTCATCAGATAGTAATGATCAAGGATGGACAGCAAAGATGACTAAAACAAAAGCTAATTTAGCTACGATTGAAAAATATCGTAAGTATTCAATATTCTTCAAATCTATGAAGAGATAAATAAACATTTCTTTTACTATTAGGAAAATATCTTCGTTCACCTGGTCCAGATCTGATTGTCTGTGATGAAGGTCATATGATGTAAGTTTCTTTTGTTTATTTTTTTTTTTTCATTAGGTTTTTTGTTGATATTAGTAAAAATCCAAAGAGTGCTATTGCTCGTGTAGTAAATGAAGTACGTACATTACGTCGAATTGTGTTGACTGGTACACCAATGCAAAATAATTTAAAAGAATATTATGCTATGATTAATTTTTGTAAACCTAATTATCTTGGTTAGTTTGAATATATTTCTAAGTTTTGAAAACTAATTAGAAAATTTTAGGTAGTGAACATGAATTTTCTCGAAATTTTCGAATACCTATCGAAGCTGGTCAACATAAAGATAGTTCACCAGGTGATGTAGCATATATGCGACGTCGAGCATATGCATTAAATCAACGTTTAAAGACTGTTCTTCATCGACGTGATTTTGATGTATTACGTTCATTTTTACCACCGAAATTCGAATATGGTAAATATGATATTCAGTGAATAAATGAATATTGTGTTTTTGTTTTTTGTTTTTAATAAGCTGTAAAAATAAAATGTATGCCATTACAACAAGAACTCTATCGAACATATTTATTAATTCAAAATATTGATCCAACAGCTCGACTAAGTAGGTTCTTCTTGGTTTTGTTTTTAAAAATAAAATTTATTGTATTTTACTTTTTTTAAAGATATGGCTAAATTACTCACTGATTATCAGTATTTGATGAAGATCTGGACAGTAAGATTATTAATCTTTGTATTGTTTATAGATAATTTCATTCTTTAGCATCCATGGCTTCTTAAACCTCATTTTATTGATGGTTATCAAAAATATTTAAAAGGTGAAGATCAAGTCGAAACAGATCAATTTTTTCAAGATGATCCTGATGATATTGAAGACGAATACGGAGGATCACGAACACAAAAACGTACTAAACAAGCACCTAACAACAAAATTACACAAGCAGTAAGGAATTTCAATAGATTATAAATAGAGTACCTCTAGAATGTGCAAAATAAGATAGAATTTAAAAAGTATAGTACATACATATTCGAATTTAGGTGTACCTTTTATTTTTGTTTTAAACTAAAATATCTTTTATAAATAAAAATCAAAATAACGACGAATGTTCATGTACTATTCATATTGAACTCTATTTTATTTTGCAATGTATAGTTTTTTTTACGGATACTGTTTGAAATAAAATAGAAACAAATTTGTAAAATTTTTAGACAACTACTACCACTTCTCGACCGATCATCAGCAAATATTTTTCAAATACGAATGATAACGATGATGTGATAAGTACTGATAGAATAACAAATGTAGTAAAAGCAATGAAAAAAGAATGGTGGTATGATATATTCGATGTAGATCGATCACAATTTGATGTAAGTTTTCATTCGGAAAGCATTTGACAAAAAAAAAGTTATCTTATTTAGATTGAACTTTCGGGTAAATTTGAATTATTTCGAGCAATTTTAAATGAATGTGAAACTATCGGTGATAAATTATTGGTATTTACTCGAAGTCTTCTTGCACTTGATTATATTGAACAATGGCTTGAACGTTGGAGTTCAAGAGCACCTTCACCAAAATGGATTAAGGGTACTGATTATTTTCGTATGGATGGTAAAGATTTCATTTATTTTATTAATATGATAAGAAAAAAGATTTCAATAATAGGAAAAGTTTCAATTAAACAACGAGCAGCTGATATCAAAACATTTAATGAAGTTGAAAATACTCGAGCACGTTTATTTCTTATATCAACAATGGCTGGTGGTATTGGTATTAATCTTTATTCAGCTAATCGTGTTATTATTTTTGATGTTAGTTGGAATCCAGGTAAATTTTTAACATTTATAAATTTGAAAACTAAAAAAAAAAAGAAATCATTCTGAAATTATTTAAGCACATGATCTTCAAGCTATGTTTCGTTCATATCGACTTGGACAAAAGAAACCCGTCTATATCTATCGTAAGCCTTTAATTCAAAATAGAAACAATCAAAAAAAATGGTTTTTCTTTGTTTCAGGTATTATTGGAAAAGGTACAATGGAAGAAAAAATATATAAACGTCAAATAATTAAACAAGCTATGTCGCAACGTGTCGTCGATTCTAAACAACTTGATCGACATTTTACAAATGATGAACTTTCTCAACTTTATCGATTTGAACCAGATAATGAAGATGATCCATTGGATAAATATGATGCTGATAGAGTGAAAGACAAAATTTTAAGAAAATTAATGGATGATTTTGAAGATTTAATTGTATCATATCGTGAACATGATTCACTTTTAATTCATCGTGATGAAGAAAATTTAACAGAAGAAGAACAAAAACAAGCACAACATGAAGGTATTAAATTAATTAAATTATTAAAAGTTTCTATTTAATTTTAAATCTATCTACTTAGATCATCTTACAAAAACACGAATATATGGGCACACTCATGCAACACCAATACCATTAACAGATGATTCAGATATTCAAATTATACCAGGACAAGTTATGAATTTTTTTCGCAGAAATCTAACATAATGAAAAGTTTCTATCTATATATATATATTTAATCAATTTATTTTTCTTGTAATGTTCGACTCTTCTATTAATTAATCTAATAAAAAAAATATAAATTTGTTTATATGACTATTTGATATCAAAGAATGTACGTTCTATCTAAATTACTAGACTTTTGAAATAAGTAACAAATCACGATCAACATACATTTCATCAAAAGTGATATTTTTCATGATTCGAATAACGTTCTAATATTCCAGCTCCTTAAGGTTTTGAAAAAATCTCAAGCCCAAAAAATGATCAGATTATTGTCATCTTAGAGAAAGTCTTCTTTTGCCGAAGAAAGAAGAGTTTTGGCTGTATCGTTTCATAACAAAAATTTTGTTCTAACACTGTCCCTGTTAGAAACGTAAGCATTCTTTCTCAGCTAAGGATTTTTTTCAAAAAGATGTGTTGATGCGAGCTACTTTTCGACGAAACTCAGTCAGATCGACAACAACAATATTCATGTTTAGAATGGATGGATCACAAAAGCACTTGCTTGTTACTTTTATCGCGATTTTTCTTCTATAAAGATAACCTTTTTTTTTGGAGAAAAAATCAAATACTTACGAAGTCGTTGGAGTAATATCAAATTTCTACTTATCGAAATATCACGCCATGGGCTTCTTTATTTTCTGTCAATGCAAAATACTACTTTCTCATGAGATATAAGGGTGGGTACCACTACTATTCTATCTCATTTCAATGTCTATTTAGAAGAAACATATATGAAAACTTGAAGAAAGCTCTAAACAACAATCCTAACTTGATTGTTATGTCAATCACCTTCGTTTGCAGTTAACATAAGCATTCGTCCCGCAAATGATGCGAAATACGGATTGTTGACTGTGATATCACGCAATACTGAAACACTCAATTCTGACGAATTTGCTTGTACTCTTGCTACGATTTCTGTATCACGCAGCTCCAAGTTTTACTATAAAGAATTTGACCTGAAGTTTCCAAAAATATCTCACAAAATTTTACCAGTATCCTCCCTAATATCTTCCAAATATCTCGTATGGAGACTGAATAATAGATCGAAAAGATATTTTCAATATTCCAGTCAATGCTCATTGAACACAGGATGGAACAGTCATGACTGAAGGCCATGGACAAGATGATGCCACAAATCAAGTTTACTACTCTTACAGTCTTTTCGTTGATGATGATGACCAAATAATGATCATCGCTGACACGCGCAATAATCGTATCATTGAATGGAAGATACATGATACAAATGGAGTAGTAGTAGCTAATGGTCAGGGCTAGGGAAATTGACTGGATCAATTGAATCATCTAACCGATGTGTTGATGGACAAAGAAACGAATAATCTCATTATATGTGACAGGTGGAATCAACGAGTTTGACATTGATCTCGTCGTAACGGCACAGATCAAAGAGAAATCATAGTTGACAACATCGCTTGTCAACAACTGGCCATGAATAATAAAAGATATCTATACGTTTTTGATGCTGAGAAACACGAAGTAAGACGATATCAAATAGGAGACAAGAATGGAACTGTAATGGCCGGTGGTCATGGTGAAGATGATGGTCATAATCAACTCACCTGACCAAGTCACCTGTTTGTCGATCAACAACAAACTGTCTACGTATCAGACTACAAAAATCATCGTGTGTGGAAATGAAATAAAGGTGTAACACAAAGGCATTGTCGTTGCTGGGGGCCAACGCCAAGGAAATTCAATGACACAATTGTTTTATCCTACTGGACTGTTTGTCAATACATTTGGTACCATCTATGTAGCAGACTCAAGCAATCATCGAGTGACGCGTTGGTCTACAGAGGCGACGCAGAGCACTGTCATTGTGGGTGGAAATGGTAAAGGATAACGAGTAAATCGGATAAATATTTTTTTTGAGCCCGCAATTAGACAGATTTGAGCCCGATGAAATTCGTCCGGGCTCAAAAAAATGTTATGTGTCTGTTGAGCCCGGCTATCCATTGTTTTGAGCCCGGCCGTAAGATATTGTGTAGATGGCACGTGCATGATAAATTTCATCAATACGATAGATTATCATGATGCGTAACTTGTGTACATTCAGTATTTTTTGAATTTCTTACACGTTTGTTATTGTATTTCTTAAACATTTCACTATGCCCAACCGAACGTGGAATATTGTCGACAAATTTTTCAGTGAAAATGAATTTCAATCCTTTATCGTACAAAATGCTGTATCTATAAAACGTACAGAAGAAATTGAAGCTGGAAAGAAGGTCATATATCGATGTTCAAAGTACAGAAAATATCCTGAGTGCGATTTTCAAGTCAAAGTTATTTTTTCTTATGATGGTGGAATAACAGTTTCAACATCCAATGAACATAATCATGCTCATCGTGCATCAACAACACGAGCACCATCACCAGTTAGAGAAATTGTTATAAATTCTGTTGCAGCTGGTCTTTCTTACATTCAAACACATCGAGCTATTGAACATCAATATGAAGGTGTTGTTTCACGTTCACAATTATGTAGTTTATTAAATTACCATCGATCACTAAAATTACCCGATGTAAATTTTGTCGATGATTTTTTTCTGTTATATAAAATTATGTTATTTTTTTTGAACTAAATAAACTATAGCAGGTTCAGAACTATGGATAATCGGGCTCATTTCATATTTCGAAGTCAAAAGACACAAAACATTTTTTTTTGAGCCCGAACTAATTTCATCGGGCTCAAATGTTTCTAATTGCGGGCTCAGAAAAATTCTTGTTCGAGTAAATCAGCTCTTCGATCGATATAGCAATATTTATGTCGCCGATTTGCGAAATAATTGAATTCAACGATTTTCCATTGATTAAAGTGATAATGTTTGATCATTTTTTTAAAAATTTCTATCAAATAAATCATGCTGAATAAAAAATAAAATGAATTTCATTCCAACTTTATCGGCGTTCGCAAGAATAGGAATCATCCTAATGGTACAAGGCTGACTAATATACACATAACGAGAGTAGATGAGTCCCAAAATACTCGGTGCTTGTTACGGATTCCAAGATAGTTCCTGGTTGAACTTTTAGAGAGTAGACTAGAAATTACAGTACAAATAATTCACCCATATACTTTCTTTGAGCTTATGTCTAACAGTCCATTAATTATATATTTTCAATATATGAATGATACCAAAAACATACGATTCAAATTGGAATTGTTGCTGAACTTTAAATTTTATTTTATCAACTTTCTTTTTTGTGCATTCTATAGTATGTATTTCAAATGAGACTAATATTGTTTTTTAATAAGATCTTCTAATACAAATGATGAGATGAAGGTGAATGACTGAATACTTTTTATGAATGAATCTTCAATGACTCAGATACTGCAGTAACTAGAATTCTCTATATTTTTATAAAAAAAACTTGACTCTTCTGAGAAAAATTATATCCATCTAGTAGAAAAACAGTGATTGAATTTAAAAAACACGAAACTCTAATGATGATTCAGTAGAACCGAAGAAGATAATTATTTTCAGTAAATAAAGATCTTCTGCAAAGCAATTCAAGGAAGGTCTCTTAATCCTTTGGGTGTGGGTGTTGGTATGGATGCATGTATGCTAGTGGATGTTCTCGTCATATATACCTACATCTACACCCAATTAATCGATATCTATTGATTAAAAATAGCCTTTGTTGCAAAAGTCTTAAGAAAAAATATTGGCCACTTAAACGCAATCAATCACAATACAAACATAATCATGATCGTACAACAAGTATGCAAAGGCAATCAATGCATGTTCGGTTCAAATCGAAAGACGTATTACCTTGAGATGAGAATTTCTAGGATATGATTTCCGATTCATTCAATCGAGAAAAAAGAATTTCTTTACTAGGTTAGGCGGTATGATTAACCTGGGTTTAAATTTAGAGGTGTTCAAAAGAGTGTTTCAATGAGATTTAAAATCTTCAATCATAATCGACTGTTGCCTGCAAAACTACAGATACAATTGAAATCTGTCTTAATTTGTTGTATATCAGAATTGAAGGTTATGAAAAGTTGAGAAAAAAAATAAGATGAAACAGAGTTGAGTGTGGTAGGGAAGGAATTCAATAGTCTATAGTGACATTCAATGGGTGTGGATCTTTTTTTAATTATCGACATCAAGCACAGCCACAGCCACAGCCTCATATTTAAAGTTTCCTACGCCATCGACATCGGTTAATATAATACAACAGGAACACGTTTTATTGATTGTATCAAATGAATATCAATTAGATGCTGATCTTTCAATTACTCGAAGAGGAGATTCGCAAAACAAACAAAAAATTGATTTTAAAGGAAACATAATATTAAAAAACATATTTTATATGTATTTACATTGACTTTTAGATTTGAAGTCTTGTTAAAACTATAAACATGAATGGCATATGCAAGCATGTCTTTTATTTAGGATTATCGTCATATTCGCATTGGTCAATCCACATGCTTGTGACACCCAAATTCACAATGGGTGTGGATGTGTATGGTTATGAGTTTGGGTGTACATGATAATCCTTAGCTCATCTATCTTCACCTGTATGTGCTTTCTGACTCATAAAACTCACTAGGACATGAACCAACAACTACAGGCACACACACATCCAAAGCCATACTTACTTACACCCACACCTACACGCTAAAAAGCGTGCTCCACTCAAATCTTTTGTATGACTTTTGAAGAGTTCCAAGAAGTGGCATTTGATGACCGTCGTTGTGCAGTTGAAATATTAATATTGTGATTGCTCAGCACACTCACACCCTCGAGGTACAGAACCTAATGAAACGCTAAGCTGTGTGTCGTGTATCGCTCTATGCTAGCCGTTGAATTCACTTACGACGTCGTTAAAGCTTCTAAACGATCGTTTTCGATTATCGGGATTCTCACCGAGGAAAAATACTTCTTTTATTTTACGATGTTGATAAGAAAAGTTAGCCTTAGCGTTTGTATTGTTTCTTATGCTTTAAGGACTTTTTTGGTTTTACACTTTGTTTGCCTTTTATATCGTTTTACTACCTTTGCTCTTGTCCTCATTTATTTCGGTTCTACATATGCAACACTTTTCTTCTCTCAGATGGGTAAACTGTCTGTACTGCGTTTGCTTAATAATAGCTGTATCTATCGAATGTTCTGTTTCTTCATAGAGGAATGATAAAAGCAGGTAGCCGAAATTTGCTGTAGCTGTTATAAATCTGAGCGTTTATATGTTTATATACTCCCTTGGAAAAAAAAGTTGGCAGTTCGTATTTGAATTAAATCGTTACCGTAGAAGCATACTTTTAAAAAAATAAGGATATATCCTAAGAGTGATTGGACTTTTTTTTATCACTCTTCATATTTACTTTTTAGTTTCCATTTATGCATTACTAACATAAAACGAGTGCAATGAAGGCACCTTCATGTCCAGATTTCCCAGATGCGATTTTGTCACTGTCATCAAAACTAGAGTGTGAAATTTTTCAGCACTATAGAGTTATCTTTTAAAAATAGGAATTATATGTTCTGATACATCTTGAAATTTTCAATCATCCTATATATTCTCGTCTTGTCTAATATTTATGTGCTGAATGTGCCGCAGCACACAAATGCTAGATAGTTAACATATATGCAGGATGATAGAGAATTTAAAGCTTTATCAGGTATAAAGTTACTTTTTTTGAAAAGGGAATTCTATAGTGCTGAAAAATTTAAAAATCTATTTTTGATGACAGCAACAAAATCAAGTCTATGAATCTGGACATGCGGCCACCTTTATTGCAGTGAATTCTTTTCTAGTCAGGCATAAATATAAAGAAAGGTGTCACATATTTAGAAAATCGAGGACGTTGCAACAGTGCAGGGAGATACCAAACTTATATTAACAGACAAAAACATTCTGTGTGTTCGCGTCTTCTCCCTCATCTACACTGGTGTGATGTGGTTATGTGTCCCCGCTGATCTCTAGTGTGTCCATATTTCATTCCTAATCTTCGCTGACTGATTCCCCAATTTTCTGAATATGTGTTTCTGCTGAGTACAAACTAAAAATCAAGTATAGATGGTAATAGAAAAATCCACACACTCAGAACATACCATTATTTTTTTTTTTAAATATGCTTTTATGGTAATGATTTTATTTCAATACGAATTGCAAACATCTTTTCCTAGGGAATATATGAGCAAGTGATAATGAATAAAGCTTAGTCAGATCCTGTCGAATCTCTTCAGTTTGGTGATAAGATCTGAAAAGATCATGTCAGATTGATTCATCAGAACTTGTCGCATCTAATAAGATTCTGCACTCGATTCGATAAAGTCGAAGTTAGAAAATGTTCAAGGGTTTTATTTCTCAATCGGAGTATAATCTCAACAGCAAAAGCTCAGGTAATCGTTAGTTTTCGAGTTTTTTCGCACAATAGCAGAAAAATTCTTAATGAGACAATTTAAACATACTCAATACACATTCATGATGAGAATATTTCAGACAATGCAGTAACAGTTTTCACAGTGCTCTTTGTTTCAGCACTTTTAGATAATTATTAATCTTCAATCGTGCATACAGACTGACGAATGGCTGCATCTGATGATATACCACGGATAAATCCATGTTCTGATGAGAAATTGAGCAACAACTAACAATCATAAATGAAATTGTTAATGTTTTATCATTAGGTGATAATGAACATAAAGACACAATTGTTGACTCTTTGTTGGAAAATGGTCGACAATCATTGGTGAAATATAAAGAACATATTATATCCAAAATCTATAAAGAAGTAATGAGTGACAATGACAGCAAATTGATTGTTTTATTTAAGAAGTATTTCGAAACAATATTGAAGACAGATTGCGACAAAACCGATCCATGGTTTATTGCATTTCTTAAAGAATATAAAGAAGCAGAAAATTATGAGGTATACGACCGTATTTTTTACTCGTACTGCGAATTATGGAACTACACATATGAAAGATTGTCCAATATTATCATTTGTTTTACCGCTACTGTTCGAAGGTAGTGATGATGATTATATGAAAGAAACAAATGTCTTTAATCATTTATGGTTCACAATAACCAATGATGGTTTAAAATCTATAAGAAAATTTTCTGATTATACTGTTAAAAGTGTAATGAATGAACAATTAAAGAGTCAGTCAACATCATTTCAAGCATTACCTACATATTATTGTGAAGATGTATTTTCATTACTACAAGAATGCAAGGTCGCAGAAAAATGAAATTTATATGAGTTAGCGTTGGATGATGTTGTTGAACACGGATGGTTGGCTGATCTGAAATCTATCGAAGACAATATGACACCGAGAACTCATAAAATGTTATTGGAAAAACTACATTCTTTTCATTGAAAGGAAAATCCATCTGTAAATGAAAAACGCAATGTAAAAGATGTTACTCAAACAAAAAACGCGGATCTGAAACCAGTACAACAATCAACTGAAAGTAATGCGAAATCTAAAGTAAAGCAACGTAATATGAATTTAATTGAAAGTTTTTCCAAAAAGTTTCATTCAGAACTCTTAATGGCATCGATAGAAAAATGTCCTGTCTATGATACAGAAGAGAAACTGATAATTCAGAGACAGTTCATCAGCTCGTCACGCATCATTTCCATATGCCAAGCATTCGCTAAGAAAACTTTTCTTTGAAAAGTTAGCCAATATCAACTTTTGGCACTATAATACAATTTTGAAAAAAAAACAAGAAAAAACACTCTATTAAAGACATGCTAGCTTGTGTTTCAACAGATCATTGAAATTTTTCATAGTATATATCAAAAGATAGAGAATTAAAAACTGAATGAAGTAAACTATATATTGATATAATATAAAGTCTGTGAAACGAGGCTTACACTATCTGATTTTTCATGCTGTCCTTATAGTTTTCTAATAGAGATTGAATATTTTAGCAGTTTTCATTGGTTTGGTATAGTATTGAAGCAAAATCGATATGATATTCGAAATCAGCGTCGAAAACTGAATCTATTGACTTAAATTTTAGCAAACATTTATTTCTGCCCAAAACTTACCTGTAGAGGACGAGAGAGAAAATTTTTCTTTAAAGATAGCTATGAAGAACCACAAGTCAGTTTCGGACAGGAAAAAATTTTGCTAAAAGATAAATGACTGGATGCAGTTTTCGACGGGTGGATGTAGATTGTGGGTGTAGGGTGTGGATAGCATGTGATAGGTGTGAGTGTAGTGTGAATGTCGGTTCTCTGGTCATCTACGCCCACACTCTCAAATAGTGCTTAACTGTGACTGTGAAGGCACCAATTTGATTGGTAGTGGAGAGAAAACTGATGATGTCAATTGTATTAGTAGTTGTGATTATGATGATGATGATGATGATATTATTGATGATAGCAATAAATATGACTGAACTGCATAATTATATCTTACAATAGGCTTAGTCTTCTTGTTGGCTTTTACACCATAGCATTTAGATTAGCCTTCTTTTATGCGGTGCTCGTTTATGTTCAACTAGCAGAATAGTTTATGAAACTACCTTCTTAGCAGTGTTTCATCTTGTCACAAAGTATTAAAGCAACAATTATTTTATACACCATAATTAAATTCATTGAACTTCTAAATCCTAATCCGTTCAGTATCAAGCGTTTTCAGATGAGCATGAAATGTAGATATGCGTCGAAGTCTGTTCTACCCACTTGAAAATATAACTTTATGGATTACAATTATGATACATTTATTTATTACTACATCGTGCATGACCGGTAACTTTGGTATGACTATACCGTTTAAAAAATCAGATCTTAATTGTATCAACGAGGACTATTCTGAATTCACTTATAAGCCTCCAGCCAATAAAAATACGAATGAAAATATATCATTCGTTGCTAAGAGTGGCTTCTCTTCTTTGAAATTGTTTCTTTGCACTATCTGTTATATATATATATTCTTACGTTACTCTTCATGTGGTTATAACAGAAACTGTTTAGGTGATGTTACATGATTCAATAGAGTAAAGCGGTCTATATGTAATATATCAAGAGAGTTTATTGAAATGAACATGTGTGCAGAATAGAAAGAGATAGTAGACACCAGAAGCGAACAACGGTGCCATCAGTCGCTTTTCACGTTTTCCTTGAAAGAAATAAAAGTAGAAAGTTGTCTTTCTTCTTGATGGTAAACCATATTTTTCCATTCTTTCTAAATACTTAAATACGAATAGCGCTTCAATTCAATCTGCATGTGTCAATCCATAGTGCAATTTTCTTTGTTCAGAGCGAACAATGCTTTTCTATTTCATGATGATAACATGCAGAGAATCAACATGCCGTCTTTTTCTATCACATAATGAGTAAATACTTTTGATGCAAGTGAAACGAAGAGATAGTACAAAGAAACAAATTTGAAGAAGAATACTTTCATTATTATATGTTTTTTCTAATTAAGAGATAATGAAAAACAAAAGTCCTTATTTTATGGTATGGATGCGACGGAAAAAAAGATATTTACACTTATTAATCATCATCGTCAACAATACGGTTTACCATCACTTGAACCATCCATTAATCTTGCGTATGTTGCTCGTACACATGCTGTTGATGTTGTTGAAAACAATCCAGATGTTTGTGGTGGTAATATGCATAGTTGGGGTAATAAAGGAAAATAGGAACCAGTTAGATATACATGTGATCATCGACACGCACAATTAATGTGGAGTAAACCATATGAAATACGTAATTTTAAATTTCATGGCTTTGAAATATCCTTTGGTCACTCGGGTTCTTTAAGAAAAACAACTACAGTTAATCCAACAGAAGCTCTTAATAGTTAGAAAAGCAGTCCAGGACACAATGCTGTTATGGTGCAATAAGGTATTTTTCATCACCCACCAATGAAAGCAATCGGTGCCGGTGTTGATAAAGGATACCCAAGCAGTCAAAAATAACAAATTAACACGTAAAAACAGCCACTTTCAGTTTTGCTCTCAACGCCTTGTACACTTCGACAAATGTCCGAATTTTTGCGTTTCAACAGTTGATATAATTTGGACTTTCACATGGTTAGAACGAGTGGAAAAATAAATATTTAAACACATTTATAAAATAACTGCATTAAAACGGAAAAATTCGGACATTTGTTGAAGTGTACAAGGCGTTCCAAACAAACATTTTAACGCTAGTGATATGCAACCATTTTGTCGCATTATTGAGTCAAACGCATGAAAACTCGTAATTTCTAACATTTTTAAATTTCTGAAAATTGTTAAAAAACCATATTTTAACAGATCCCATGCGCCACCGATTTCTCTTGTTATAACAGACAATGAATCAAAATTCTGCCCATACACACACTAGTAGCTGTACATAATGTATACTAATGAACGTGATATTCGAATTACTAATAATAAGTGCATTTCGCCACACTTCTCAATTCTTACAAAACAAAAGAAAACAATGGTAAAATTGTCTTTATCTCGGAAACCATAAATAAAAATTGCAATTTATCAAAGAAAAGTTTCATTTTGTTTACTATTTTTAATTCCTATGTAGGTAATTCTATCAACATGCAATAAAAGAAATTTATCTTCTGCTTATTCATATACATATATGTGATTTACATTATGCCAAGACAACTCTATTAACATTCAACTAAATATTTTCATTTTGTTTCTTATTTTAAATTCTATTTTTAATTTATGTATAAATAATTCTATCAACATGCACTAAAATAAATTCATATTCTGTTTATTCATCTAAATACATCTGATTTATTTCATGCGAAGATGGCTCTATTAACATTCAAAAAAAAATTTTTTTATTTTATTTTTCATATTAAATTCTATTTTTCATTTATATATAAATAATTCTATCAACATGCACTAGAATAAATTTATATTCTGTTTATTCATATAAATATATCTAATTTATTTCATACCAAGATAACTCTATTAACATTCAAAAAAAATATATTTTTATTTTATTTTTAATATTAAATCCTATTTTTCATTTATGTATAAATAATTCTATCAACATGCGCTAAAATAAATTCATATTCTTTTTATTCATATAAATAGATCTGATTCATTTCATGCGAAGATGATTCTATTAATAGTCAATTAAATATTTTCATTTTATTCATTTCTTTAAAAAATTCTATTCTGTTTAATTCACTCAAAACATTTTTCATGGAAATATAGTACCTCAACAGCAAAAGTGTCGACAATCCTCTCTTCCTGATTACAATTTAAAAATGACTGCATGATACAAGTGTTGCAAGCTTATGTAATGTCAAGACAAGGAAACAAAGAAAGAAAGACACAAGGGAACAAAGCCATGAAGAAACAGAAAGAAAGAACAATGCTTATATCCAATGATATGAATGCATAGAAACACAAATACGATAAATGACTATTGGCTTGCGACATCTATTTTAATTTTTTTGTAGAGAAAAAGAGTTGTTAAAAAATACTTAAATTATAATATTTGTCTCGTTTAAGATTTACTTTTTAGAAGTTATTTTTTCTCTAAAATTTTTCGGTAATATCCGTGGGCTATGTAAAACCAAATAAAAGCGAAATGCAAATATTTTTGAAACATCTAGTAAAAGAACTTACACAACTTGAACGAATTGGTCTTCAATACACACCCATTTCTTCATCTAACTGTGTTGATCAAACTATTCGTGTATTTGTCATAGTAGCTACGTGTGATAGGCCAGCCACATCGTTAATTATTAATCATACAGAAGCTGGTGGTTACTATGGCTGCATTCATTGTAAGATAATAGGTGTGTAATGTTTAAATTAATAAATTGCATATTGTTTTGGTAAAGAAAATGAATTGAAAATATGACTTTTAATAGTAGTTTTTTGTGATACAAGTACGAAAAATATTCACAAACTAAATGATTCTGTCTTTTTAAGGTGAGAACATAAAGATTGGTGGTGGTAATGCTCGAGTATTCGTGCAGAATGATAATGATGATTTTGAATTACGATCGAATGATACATATGATGAAGCTGTTGCACTATTACAAGTAAGGAGAAAATAGTTTACAAGCTCTCTATTGATATTTTCACAAAATTTTGCTTATTTTATAGCGATCATCAAGCGAGGAAAGACGTAATTCTATCACATCCATTAATGACGGATTAGACGGATTGCGTGGTCCGTGCGAATTACGCACATTAAAATATTTTGACGTTTATCAATCTTTTTTATCAGATACTCTTCATACACTTTATGAAGGTGTAATGGTAAAAAGTTCAATTTCTGAGTTTATTTGCATTTGTAGTAAAATTTAAACATATTTAGGCTCGTATACTGCATATATTTTTTGATAGTGTTTCACGAAAAACTGGAATTACTCCAGAAATGAGTATACGAGATGCTACAGATGCTGTATCAGCAATAGTTAAATCAATTTCATATCCATCTACTACGTATAGAGTTCCACGAGACTTAAAGCAATACAATATATACAAAGCGAATGAATATAAAATGTTGTTGCTATTTGGATATAAGTGAGTCATGCCCAATTCAGTTATTTATATTATCATCCTATTTCATTTTTATTTACAGTGCATTCGATCAAGTCTTGGATGAACAAAGATATGATCACTTCCGTTGTTTAGCATTTGCAGCTCACTTAATTGAATCATCAAAAATTGATCTTGCTACACATCAGGATGTACGAAGTCTTTTAGAAGAATTTAACAGAAAATTTGAATCTTTATATACGGTGAAGTTATAGATGTAATTTTTTCTTAGCATACGCATTTAGACTAATAGTATATTAGTCCTAACAGTACATTCTCATCGGTTATTATTATAGAAACAGCAAGCAAAGCCTGTTATTCACGCATTAAATCATTTTGCAGATAGTATTAGAAATTATGGACCAGCTTTTCGATATTCCACTTTTGAATTTGAAACTACAATTGGTAAGTATATTCAATATTTTATGAGATTTATGTAAAGCTGAAGAATACTGAAAGCAGATACTAAACCGAATGGATAAGTTATTCAGATTCAAGAATTATTAAATCAAATTTGGTTTCTCATCAGAAAAAAATGGATGCTATATATGGAGTGAAATATTAATACTAATACAACGAAAGATCTTTATGTTGATAGAAAAATCTCATCATTATTTATTGTCACTTAATTATATTTCATCTTCATCTTGTTCTATTCTGTTCGCTTTCGGGATGACTATCCGACGCTAAACTGGATAAAAAATAATATTTGCTGCATCACTTCACTTCAATAGCAATACTATCAGTGTTCATCATTAGTAATAATATAAATTCTATAGTGAATTGAGAGATATTTTTGAATAACATATATATATAGTATTTCATTAATTGTCTTAAATATATTGAAATAGAAATTTCTTCCTTCATATAATTTCTGCGATTTATTGCTGTCATAAAATATTTACATTGAATAAGATGTTTCTCCAGCTATTAAACGATAAATGCGAATTAATAAAATTATTTCTAAGCAACAAACTATATATTTATATTCTCATTTTCCTTATCTTTTGATACAGGTACACTCACTCGATTAATTCACAGTGGAAATAGTCCAACAATTGAATTGCTAAGAAACTTGGATCTCTTACAGCAAACGTGGCTAGCCACATCTGATTCATCTTTACCATCTGAACTGAAAATATTTGATTATCAAATTAATACTAGTACGAGATATGCAATTCCTTCAAGATTGTCGCACCTAAATCAACATATTACTCGATTTCACAAAAAGGTTCATCTAGGTTCACTAGCTCCTGATGTTAAAAAATTTGTGACTAAATATACTGGTGGACAATCATACAATCTATATAAAACAGTATTTGTTGAACAACAACGATTCACATCTGATCGTATTGATATTTTTCGAAGGATACATGATGGGTGTTTAATGTACAATAGAAAGAATATACCAGCAATTGGTTTTTTGGAAACAATTATTTCTTTTGATAATGGTAATGAACCAGTTCTTGTTATTCGACCAGTCAGTTTACTTGCAACAGCAGACACCATGTCAATAAATCATCGAATATATAAATGTACTAACGTATTATATGGAACATATCATGGAACAACATTAGAAGTTACTAGTTTAGATTGTATTATTCAAAAGATTGCTTTTCGACGTGGAATTAATGTCAAATTTCCTCCTATTCCTAATTCTATGTTTTTTTTTCAGTATCCCAATCGAAGTGGAAGTACTTAGCATTAATAAATTCATAGCTGTTTGCCTTACTTGAAATATATTGTTTTTTTTTTGACAATAATGTTATATAATTCAGTTATAACGAGCAACTATTCTTATATTCATTCTGAATGCCTTAACTTGTTAAAATGAATGAATGTCGATGTCAAAAACGCATTTATTTGTCTAATCTATCTATTTTGTACGTTAAAACACGTTCATTGACGTAATATTCTCGTGAACTCCGTGAAGATGCGTTATCAGCAAAAAAAAACTCGTTTACACTCATTGATTTCTTTTATTTGTCGAGTGAACGAGTTTTAAAGCAGTTTTTTCTTCACTTTTCATCATTAATGTGTCAAAACAACGTTTATGCCATTTATCTGTCTGCGTGGGTATGCATGTGTATGGTTTGGTCAAGAAAAAGATACATTTCCAGCGCCGTCGTAAATACTATTACTCCATTCAAACTAAGGATTTTCTTCTTTAATACGTGACTCATCAAATACTATAATAACAAATAGCTATCGTTTATTCTTTTTTTACACTACATAATAAAATAAAAGTTATAATGTGACAAAAAATTTTACTTTCAAACATTGGGTGGATGTATGTGCGAGTGTGAGTGTGAATGGATGTAGGTCTTAGTCGATATTAATTCAACCTACACCCACATCCTGAAATGTTTTTTCAAACATAAAACTTTACTATACAAAATGAGCCTGAGCAGAAAAATTTGGTTTGTCAAATTAGCTATTTCTGAACCTTGTTTGGTAAATGTCTCCGTCAAACGTTATGATATGAGACTGAAAGCTTCATGCAATTCGGATATTCCTAGTCTAAGATTGATTTTTGAAGAGAGTGTTAACTTTTGTTGCAAAATAATCGGATTTGTGATTTCGGTTATGACTGTAGGATTATAGGGTTTTAATTAATTTTATTCAGACTAGTATTTTACTAGCAGGTGCCATCACTGATGACCTATATAGAGCAATTTATAATGAATGAGATGATGGTTAAAAATGGCTTAGACATAGAACATAAAATTTTCTCTTATTTCCTCTGATCTCATTAGTAATAGAAAAAAGTAAGATGATAAGAAACATTCAACAAGAGTGTGAATAGAAAAAGAAACTCGGTGACAACGTGAAGGAAATGAAGAGAACAGAATTTTCTCTTACGACAATCTGTCGCAGCATATACTAAGTACTGTAAATATCAGTGAGCATCAAATGGTTGTGTGGTCTCAAAAGAAAGATCCAGCTCCTTACGAAATGATTGAGTTTATCATAGGTGGTATACTGCCTACGTTTTTGATTGTGATTGGTACTGTGGGTAATCTTATATGCATTATTATCTTACTCAATAAAGAAAATCGTCGAATATCAACCAATATTTATTTAATATTTTTATGTCTTATGGATACTATTTCACTTTATCAATGGAATTTAAGTCGTGCAGTAGACATATTCACAGATGGCCAAAAGCCAATATGGGGTCAATCATTGTTCCTGTGCGAATTGAGTCATTTTCTTGCTTTTTACACCTTACATACATCAGCAATGTTTCTTACTTTTGTCGAACTTGACCGAGCGTGTTTCTTAAGAAGTAGATGGTACAAAAATAGAATAGCCCGACCATTCGTTGCATTGACATTTTGTACTGTTATTCTGGTGATTTTATTCGCAATTAATGGATATTTATTAGGATTGGGTTTTGAATATTTGACATATAATAATAATACAGAAATAGGACAAAAAGTTGTGGTATGCTCTTACACATTGAACATTGAACTTAATAACTTCTATTTGCTTCAATATCCATGGGTAAGTATTAAACTGAACATTATTGAAATTAATATTCATTTTCTTATAAAGATTCACCTAGTGATCATGTATATTCTACCGTTTACTGTCATCATTGTGTGTACACTTCTTACTGTGAGAAAACTTATTCTTAAACAAAAATCGACAAATAATCAATTAACAAGGAATGCTCAACGCAAGCGTCGCATTTCAAAGATGTTGTTACTAATGTGTTTAACTTATGTTATTTGTACTCTGCCCAATCGTCTGTGTTTTTCTGTTTTTGCAGATGAGATTATAGGTCATGACTATACCGATACTGTATTCCTTGCTACGAACACATTAATGTTTACAAGAAATGCAATTAATGTATTTTTTCTGTACATGTCTGTCTATGGATTCCGACAAAATCTACGTAAATTTATATTAGCATGCCTTAGTAACCGACTAAATCAAGTAAATCCAATAAATCATACAGTGACAAGAAATAATGTGGCTTCGATAATGATTGATGAAAAACAATGTCGAATGCGAAACAACACTATCATACAATAATAAATCAATTATTGTTCGTGTTCTCTTACAGAGCAGTCAAACACTACTTAATGTTTTTATCAGTATCAGTTATTGTCATTGTAACAATTTAGTTCCTTTTTGTAAATGCATAATGATTGTATGCTTATAAACTAAAATAGATGTACTCCTCTTAATTTGTATAAAATTTTCTGTATCAAAGCAGAAAAACACAAAAGAAAATCGCTTGAGTCAAAATACAATCATATCTCTAATGTTTTGTAAGTTGAAATTGATTAGTAATAGTTATAAAATTCACAGCAATATGCAACTTGAAAATCAGTATTTGTTTTTTTGCTTTAGCTTTAAATGTATTAGGTAGCATAGTGTGTGAACTATCTTTTATACATCTGGAAATCTATATAATTTAATTATTAATAAAATAAACCATTTGTTCACAACCCAATGCCCACCGTTTTTCATGCATGCTTTATTCGAATCTTTTTAAATCAATTTTTTATGAACTGTGAAACAATTCATCTAGATCAAATAGAAGAGTGGTGTTCGAACATTCATAACTAGAGTTCTCCTCAATCAATCTCTATGATTTTTTTTCAGCTTATATCCGTCTCAGAAGTCCTCACTACTACCCAAAAAAATCACAACTTTGCCTCGAACCATTCTCGGGGATATTGGATGCTCAATATTAAATAGTTTGATTTTTGCTATGATCTATCAGTAACAAACGCCATATAACCATTTGGTTCTATTATCATTTGAACTTCGAATATTCGTGATATTATAGTGAACAGTCTATACGTCTCGAATATGAAACTAATTGATTCTTTTAGTGCGTTTCTTATTGCAATTTTCTCTCAATAACATAAGTACAGTCAATCCTCGATTTGCTGGCACGCGAAAGTTTTTAGTTTGTTTGATGTATAACTCTTTTTAAATATGACAGTTTGATATGAAATTTTAATCATTTTATCTACTCATTGTGGTCAACTATCATTTAAAATGTCAAGGTCAGACATTTTATAGTTCGTGAAAACGAGACAAATTAGTGTCAATATGTCACGCGAGATAATCATTGCATGACTGCATCAAAACTAAAGCTCAAGTAGCTATAGAATATATTAATTGACGTCATATTTAAGAAACTATCAAGAGTCATGCGAATCAATATTAGATTGTGTCTGACAAGTTAATGAACTCTCAAAAAAAAGTTGGCTAATTAAATACATTCTGTAACTCATCGTGCATTTGCAAATTTTATAGCTTGATAAGTGTTATAACAAAATATAATTCAGAATAAATCATGTTGTTTCAGCCGCTAACTCTAGATCAATCATGGTTCCTCATGACAAAGAGAAGGCTCAACGTTAAAATCTAAAATATCATCGAAAAATTCAACTGAGCCGTGTATTATCAAAGTCATATGACTTTGAATTCAAAGAGTAACTTAAAAAAAACTATCGTATTCCGGTCACTTGGATAGTGTGGCAGTTGAGAAAATTTATTCACATTCTCCTCTCATGTATTAGCATAGAACACGCTAATCATCGCTGTTAAAATCGAAATTTTTTTTTTTGACCATTTTTTTCACAGAACGGTACAATCATTTTGCAATTCATTCATACATATACATAAGATTAAACTCTATAGTATACGTGTTGAATGAGGATACTTCTTTTAGTTAATGCTATTCGCAACCACTTATGTAACATATACAGAAGAGAGTAGAATTCGTTTTGAAATATATCATATTTTGCAAATTTTGTTGACATAATCAATATCATTCAAATTCAGACTATTGTATCAAAATAAGTATCCTTTTTTTATTATATTCAATGCTAGACTTTGTTTTGAAGGGTGTGAGTATGGTTGCGGTTGTAGATTTGTATGGATCAAAAGAACATTTACACGCTCACCTACACTTTCAAATTTCACTTTTTTAAAAGTTTTTCTTTTGACAGTTATAAGTTTGTTTATGGCATCACTAGACTTGAAATTCAGCATGAACGTCAAGTTGAAGGGTGTAGGTATCATTTCTTCAACAAAGGATGAACGATAACAATGAAATATTGCTCTTATCGTGCATTCTTTTCCAACGATCCAATGCTACTAATTATTTTTTTTGTTGTTATTAACTTTCATTCACGTAGTTCAGTATTTTCAGTGTTTTCTTCTTGTTTTGATAATAGCAAGCATTATTGCTAGAGGTATTTACAATATCAACAAGATTCGATGACAATATTTGTTAATTGAAACTCAATGGTTTCGGAAAAAATTGTGATGCATCACTGAACATGAAGTATTTATCTTAGAGAATACCAATAAATGTGAGATATTTAGTGACTATCTGATGATGAGATGGTACTAAGCGTTCGAGTATAATCAATGGCTTGACCAATACGAAAACCATTTTCATCAAGATTCGTGTAAAAAATGTGAAAGCTTTATCAAACTTTCTTCTATTGTTTTCCCTGAATCCAACATACTCAGAAAAAACAACGTATGTTGATGAGGTACTTGGAAATATTTATAGATTGTCTATGCGAAACATGCCAAAATGTCGTGAGTGAATAAGATGAAGAGATATAAGAAGCATGTGTGATGTATTTCGTTTTGTATCTTGCGAGAATGTTATCAATGATCATTGGTTCTTGTACACGATTAACTGTGTGAGTTATTTCAAGG